GCCGAGACCTTGGATTGATTTGGGGGAGCCCCCGACCCCCGGTTGCCTTTGTCATCTGGCCGAGGGCGTTGCTGATCAGGGTTGTGATGACATTTTTCTACCTCCTTGGCCTCGGCGTACCGGTCCCCCTGCTGCAGTGCCCTTATGTAATCGCGGGGAGGTTCGGTGGTGAGGCTCCTATAAAAGTTCCCGGGGCGGAGGACTATTTGAAGGAGGGCCAAGAGGGTCCCGTTATCGGCGCCGTCAACCTTACCAGCCTCCGTTCTCCAGCATTCCAAGAAGTCTCGAAGTGTCTCTTCTTTCCTTTGTCTCACCGTCATGAAGTGGGAGAAATGTTTCCTTGATTGGCGCCTCCCTGCGAACTGCGTCAAGAAGCGTTGGGCGAGTTCTTGCCATGAATCGATGCAGCCTTCAGGCAATCGGTTGAACCATTCGTACGCTGGTCCCTCTAAGATGGAAAGGAACCAGCGGCACAAATATTCGTCTGATGCCCCCACCATCATCATGCTGTTTTGGTAGCGGCTGTAATGTTCCCGGGGGTCCGTCTTTCCTTCATAGGGCTTGATGGGTTGCCCCCGGTATTTTTACGGAATTCGGGCCGCCAATACCCTTGGGGTAAATGGCGTCCTAGTCCGGAGTTGGATGACAGGTTCCCCGGAGCCCTCGGCTATTCTCTTTTGCATCTCCTCCATTTTGGCCATCATGACCTCATATTTGGGATCTGCATGAGGGGTGGCGACGGCGGTATGTGTTCGATGGGCCTCCATTTCATCAAGCCGGTGCTGGAGGGCCGTAATAATCTCGTCCCTGTGATCCTTCGGGAGGGCCTCCGCCCCCTGCAAATGAACACGGGCCGAGTCGGCCTGGTTGATTTGATGCCTGACGTCATCGGTATGAAGTGGTGCCTTGCCTTTGTCCTGAGGAGGACGTGTTTCGTCTGCCCTGGAGACGAATCCGCCACTTTCCTGAGGTCTTTGGAACGCCTTCCCCCCGAGGCGGTCTTGGACCCCTCGGCGGTCTTGCACCCCTCCGAGCCTCTCGAGGGCGGAGGTCCGGTGCCTTTCTTTGTTTGTGCCATGGCGGTCCCAGCATTGGACCTCCTGAGAGGCAGTGTCCTGGGCCACGACCCCCTCGTCGTTCCCAATCCGAAGGATAGGTTTCGCGAGGGGGAGTGGTGGTGGGAGCGGTATGGCGTTCTCCCCGACCTGTGGTTGAAGAGGCACCAGAGTGCCGAAGGCACCCGGGTTCTGAGTGAGTGTCTGAATGAAGGCGAAGAACGCCAATTGCACGTCAATAGTAAGGACCGGAGGGCTCACTTGATTTTCGCTTCGGTCCATTTTTCTGGCCTCGATGCCAAGGAGGGCATCGGGGGCATTCTGTTGGAGCTGAAGGCGTAGGTCGACAGCCGTCTGGTCCAACCCGGCGATGACGCCGCCCTCGGGAGCCCTGTTAGAGGCTTCGGGGATGTCGACTTCGCCGAGGGCCAGGTTCCTGTCCTCATGAGTCTTGGATTGGGCACGGGTGTTTCTTCCCATTTTGATAGGTGTTTTTAGGTGAAGGGAAGGGTTTCTTACTTGAATGTTCGATCTCTCAATGAAAGCACCAAATGATGGATAAGTGTACCCGGGGGGTATCTATCTGAGGGGTTACTGCGGGTGTAACTTAGAGAGAAGTCAGAGCAAAAGTAAAGAGAGAGTGTATATTGATATTGAGTGTATTCAGCGTGGTTTACAAATGGGGAAAGGGGGGCTATTTATAGCAGCAATAAATGCTAGATAAGGACACGTGTCATCATTCTGGTGGTCGAGGGGTCACTGGCACTCGCATGTGGCCGCATTAAATGCGGTGGTTGGATGTGACGTTTGTACTTGGTACGTTGATCCAGCGCATGTGGATGAGAGATTCTGTCGAGGGAGGTGCCTTCGGCTGTATATGATTAGCCGAGGGCTCTTACACCCGGGGGCCTGTGTGTGCCGAGGGCTCTGGGTGCCGAGGGCTAATTCTTTCGCCGTTTTCTCCCAGTAACTTCATAACCCTAAAACAGTTGTTCTGTGAGAGTTTGGGGCCTTCGGCTAGGGGACCGAAGGCGGCTGTATGGGCAGCGTGGGCCTCCTGTCACTTGGGGCGCTGTGATTTGGGCCTGCTGTGCTTCCTGGGCCTGTATTAAATAGTTGGAGTCTATGGACCGGGGGTTCCTGGGCCATATACTCAATCAGAAAGATTCATGAAATGACAAAAGGACCCTATACGAGTATACATGATCGACTAAAAAGAATTGATGATCTAACGGTTGTGAATTATTCTTATTTCTCTACTATGATGAGTTTCTCACATGAACCTAAATATATATATATATATGTGTGTGTGTGTGTGTGTGTGTGTGTGTGTGCAGATTCTGGATCAAATAAAAACCTTTCTTCCGGTGAAAACTACAAACCGGTCACTTTTTACCCATTGTGATGCACTTTTAGCTAGCTTTCTATGCTGCACTTTTTCACAATGACATACAATTTTGAATTATTTGACATGATTCGGCCAAAGTTCAAAAAGTGCAAGAGATGAGCTGTAAAGTGAATCAAATTGAGCCAAAAGTGACGGTTTTCAATTTGCACGATAAGGATGGTTTTTATCGAAACCACACCCTACATACGCATGCACGCGCGCACACACACACATACACACACACATTACCCCGGAAGGCAAACCACCAAAATCAGTGGGATAAATGTCGAAAAACATTTACCAGATTTTATTAGAAAAAGGGTAGAGTACAGAAGGAGGGACTACACCAAAACCCCTGCTAAGAAGGCATTCCTTCAAAAAAGACAGAAAATTAACAAAATCTAAAGTAGCTAAGACCCAACTTATCAGCAATTAAATTACATCTAATATGACTGATGTTAGAAAAAACAATTCTCCGTTTTAAAAAATCCATCGAGAAGACGGTTAAATATATTATTGAAAAAAATTGTGCCAAGGTATACATATTAAAGTGCAGTTTTTTTCAATTGTTTATTTAACTGTCTTCCCGATGGAGTTTTAAGCTGAAATTTGGTGGACACAAACTAGACTTGATGAAGAATAGACTCAAAAGCTTTCATCAAAGAATTCCACCGGGAAGGCCATCTGACGGCCTTGTCCGTACGGAGGTTCCTATACATCCATATGTACAGGAACAAGACGCTATGTGTGTGTATAAGGTATGGTTCCAGTGAGAACGATGCTTAACATAAGAACGTGAGAACACTTATATTTAAATCAATGTGGTCCACAACGGACCTATTCTGTTGCACATTTTCAATTTGCTAAAAATAAGCCTATATTAAATAAACACAGTGGCATTTTGGTAAATATTGTGAAAACACGAAAAAATGCAATATACAAGCTTCATTGTGCAACACGTTGAGGCAAATGTCGTGTTCTCACGTTTTCACGTGAAGCACCATTTGGGGATCTTCTCGGTATTATTGTTTGATGAATTTTTTTTAGCCTGTTCTTCATCAAGTATAGTTTATTCATATCAAATTTCAGCTAAAAATTCAATTGGAAAGTATTGCGTTGTTTATATATAGTTATATATATATATGATGGAGTAATGGGACTAGGCCCAGAGCCTAATCAACCCAAGCCTCGAACTTGGACCCATGGATCCATGTCCACAACCTGGAGCCTGCCTGCCAGCCCTACGGGGAGCCTGCCAGTCCGGCCGACCTCCCAGCCCGGAAGAGTAACGGTCAAACAATTAATGCCCTATTAATTATGTATTTAATTCCGTATTAATGTTGTAATTAATTAGTCATTATTATCGGTAACGGTTATGATTTGTATACGCCTATAAAAGGCGGGTTGTAATTCAGATTAGGGGAGACAACTTCTATATGCTATTTCTGGCTAACTTTCCATATTCGTACTTTCCTAATTCTTGCTTGAGTGTCGTACGTAACTTTCCTAAAAGCCTACGAGCGTCCTATTTTGGACCAACAATATATATATATATATATATATATATATATATATATATATATATATATATATACATGGGGCGGATCAGGTGGGAAGTGTTCTTAGGTTGAAAACTGCGAAGTTGAACTTATAGACTAAATATAAGAACTTTTAACCAATAAATCATAATTTATAGACCCCTCGAAAATAATTACGACAATGCCACCGCAAAAAAATAACCACGGAAACCTTGATTTTTTTTATGCGATGGCATTTTCGTTATTATTATGGAGAACTTTATAAATTATGATTTATTGGTTATAAGTTCCTATATTTAGTCTATAAGTTTACTGCGTTGTAAGATCAAATTTAAATCCAAGGACTAAGATTAGTTCCCACTTCTCATTTCAAGGGGCACTTCTCACATGATTTTTTCTATATATATATATATATATATATATATATATATATATATATATATATATATATATATATATATATATATATATATATATATATATATATATATATATATATATATATATATATATATATATATATATATATAGAATTAGGTTCAAGTGAGAAAATGATCGTAGGAGAGAAATGAGAATGAACCAGGACCGTTAGATTGTATATATATATATATATATATAGGGGATGGTTCAAATAAAAAGAGGTCTTAACGTGCAAAGTGAAAAGTTTACACTTTTTCATGTTTCGCTTGCACTTTTTCTTGCTTTCGTTGCACTTTTTCGCGATAGCTCAAAAAAATTGGTTTATGTACAAAACTGCCACCGTCATTTTGGTCGAATTTGACCAAAATCAAAATGGCCAAAAAGTGCAACGCAAACAACAAAAAGTGCAAGTGAAACATGAAAAAGTGAAAACTTTGCACTTTGCACGGGAAGACCTCTTTGCATTTGAACTCTTCCCTATATATATATATATATATATATATATATATATATATATATATATATATATATATATATATATATATATATATATATATATATATATATATATATATATATATATATATATATATATATATATATATATATATATATATCTGTGTGTGTGTATGTATGTATGTATGTATGTAAACCAGACAGCCCACTAGCTCATGATATTCAGTGGGATCCTCGAGCGGAACACCATCACAATTGGAGAACTTGGCATGGAACTCAAGAGGAGTATCCACAGTCTTGTCAAATGTGAGATGGGCACGAATAATAATATCAGTCCCATACTTAGACTGACCCAGAAGATAACCTTGAGGAGAAGATGCAATCTCAATGCCAAGAAAGTACCGAAGAGGACCCAAGTCTTTCATCTCAAATTCACGGAAAATATGGCCTTTTACAGCAATAATAGCAGCAAAATCGGAGCCAGTAATAATTATGTCATCCACATACAATAAGAGAAGAACCAGACCATGAGATGTGCGGTGAAGAAAAAGTGTTGAGTCATGCATACAAGGTTGAAAACCAATATGAAGTGCCACATCTTGGAAACATGCATACCAAGCATGGGGAGATTGTTTTAATCCATAGAGAGCACGACGGAGATGGCAAACATATCTAGAGGGATGGGAGATAGATACCCATAGAGCAAGACATTCTTCACATCTAGCAGATAAAGCGGCCATTAATGAACAACAACAGAAATTAGTGTGCGACAGTGATCAGTTTGGAAACCGGAGCAAAGGTCTCCTCATAGTCAATCTCATACTCCTGAAAAAAGCCTTTAGCAACCATACAAACTTTATAGCGTTCCAAAGACTTATCAGAGTGCGTCTTTACCTTGTAAACCCATTTGTAACCAATAAGATTTTTAGCCGCTGACAAAGGAACCAACTCCCATGTTTCATTTTGAGCAAGAGCATTGAGTTCAACATTCATGGCTTCTATCTAGTTAGGATCATTACAAGCTTCTTTATAAGACCTAGGCTCAAAATATATATGAATCCGAGAAAAAATGACTCATAAGAAGAAGAGAAACAATTGTGAGCAAATTTTACTGGGGGATAAATTTTCACGAAAAAGATATCGGCGAGTAGGCGGATCAGAATCATCTGAGGCAGATAGGGAGGCAGATGATCAGGGAGGCAAGAATGGAGCAGCAGCACGACGAGAATAAACTAAAGGGAACTGTGTTATGGATGTTGAGGGAGCAACGAAACTACCAGGTACATCAAGGGTGGTGTTGGAGGGGGCGGGAATATAAGATATATCAAGGGTAGAAGTATATCCATCGGACGACACCTCTACGGGAAAGGGGTCAATATGTGTTTGGTCCTCTTTGGCTAAGGGAGCAGATATGGGGGAAGGGTGGAGTATGGGAGACGCTCTAAGAATGAGACATGGTGGGAGGTATATAATTTCTTAGTGACAGGAACATGACACCGACAACCTTTCTGATCAATACCATATCCCAAAATCACACAAATGACACACCGGGCACAGAGCTTAGTGCGGTCTTTCTTTGGGAGAAGGACAAAACATGTAGAAACAAAAACACAAAGGAGGGAGTAGCTTGGAACTTGCCCATATGCTCATAAGGAGAACTACTAGAGAGTATCGAGGTAGGCGTCCGATTCAAGAGATATGTTGCTGTGAGCACAGTTTCTCCCCAGAAACTAGAAGGCACAGAGGATGATAACATGAGAGACCAAGGAGTGTTAAGAATGTGACCATTTTGGGAAGGAGTATCACTGCAAGAGGATTATTGAATGATCCCGAGGATTAATGAATGATCCCAAGTTTAGTTAAAAAGGATGTAAACTGTTTAGGACTTTACTCCCCACCCAAGTCAGATCGAAAAACTTTTATAGATGCAGAAAACTTATTTTGGATCGTAGCTTGAAAAGTTTGAAAAATATTATAGAAATAAGACTTGTGTGCTAGTAGATAAATCCATGTGTACCTACTGTAATCATCCACATATGAGACATAATAAAAAAAAATCCACCCTTTATAGCAATAGGGGGAGGACCCCATAAATCAGTATGAATAAGTTCAAAAGGAGCAGAAGAGATGGAACTGCTTTTATTAAAAGGTAATGCAAACATTTTTGCAAGTTTACAACCACTATATTCTGAAATGTGAATAGTAGAAATTTGACCCAAAGAACCAAACCGAACTGAAAGTTTAAAACGATCACTAGACAAGTGTCATAATCCAGAATGCCAAAGATGAAAGGGAGACGACTTCTGATCTAATTGAAAAGATGATGCGGCAGTGGGAGAGCATTTTATTAGAACGTGGAAGTGCTCCAAGAGATAGAGATCACCACTCTATGGCCTGCCCCAATCCGCCTCTTGGATTTCTGATCATGCACAACACAACCAGAGAGAAAACACAACATCAAAACCAGAATCAAATAGTTGGCTAAAGGACAGAAGGCTTAGAGTTAACTAAGGTACATAAAAGACATTTGGAATAGACAAAGATGTAGAACGGATAGAGCCAATGGAAACAACATGCATGGGAGATCCATTTGCAGTGGCAACACACTAATGGAGGAGATGGGTGAGACACATTTAACTAGAAGAGAGGAATCATGGGTCATATGGTGGGAACAACCCGTCTGGAGACGGTCGGAGCTCCGGAGAGGGTCCTCAACCAGTGTTTTATGGTGCAGGGCGTTGCTGATGGTTGTAGATAAAACTAGAACCAGAGATGTCTTCTGATGGGAAGAAGGCGCCAGAGAAGAGGCTCTGCCAAGTAAATTGATAAGCAAAACTATTGTATTTATGATAAGAATACTACATAGTAAAGTGCCCTATATATAACCCTAAAAAAGGAAATGTAATCAAACATAAATCACTCCCTGATCCTACGCCCTTATATAAAGATAAGCACCAATATATAAGGAGATTCTTTCCTTTCACAAAACCAGTCCCTGGTCTTACACCCTAAAATAAAGATATGCACAAATATGCAAGGAGATTCTTTCCTTTCACACGTCCCCCTAACATTGGGATAAAGGAGAGTAGTGCGGTTTTAAGAAAAGTAGATGTATGTGGTTGTTAATGAATTGATAAAGTGAGAATACAGTAAGAATGAATTGGAGTCAAAAAATATTACCAAATATGGTATGAAACAAATTTAGTGGGACGAACGGAAAAGGAAAAATGAGAAATTATAGTGAGACGGAGGGAGTATCCCATAATATTCCAAAATGAAGGATAACCAGGAATCTTGGATCTGACACTCTGAGATCAACAGGACAAGCATTAAATGAAGTTTCTTTTTCACTCCAACACAAAAACAGACTATTTTTTAGATACACTTAAAAGAACATATAAACTAAGAACTATGAAAATCAACTACCAAATTTTTTAGATCAAACAACTTCATACTAAACAGAAGAATTCCAACTAGAGTTTAGAATATTTACATCTCATATATTCCATCCAACTCTCAACAAAGTTCGTCCTCATTCTTCAACAACCTATGAAAGCCACAACAACATATCTTCTATGGAGAAGTTGGATGATACACTTTCTTATTCTTACAAAGGATTACTTCATGCAAAAGAAGAGGCGCCAAATTAATCAGAGTGAAGTGATGATACTTGCATAATTCCGACGAAACGGTCAGCCATCACGAAACTTTGCCAACCTTTCTTTTTTGATTGTCCCAAAAAACTTTGTCACTTTCCTACTAAAGCAACTAATTTGTGGTTCTGTACATTTCTCTCTCCTCTGCACAAATCTCAACCACACAGTTATTACTACACTTGGCAAAGCTTACCGGGACGGAGGTAGTATTACTTTTACATTTGTGTACATGGGTAAATGTGATATCTCAAGAGTGTGGATTCTGTGCCTACACAGATTTCGGTCAAGTGATTCAACGGGCGAATCTACCTTAGTGTTTCTAGACAACCTGACCGAACTTACAATTTCCGTAGTCGAGCCAAGTTTGTCAAGATCTATGCCAACTCTCTATAAACAAACAGATTCCGTTAAGACACAAAAAGATAATCCAAGAACAGTCTATTCACCGCCCTCTAGACTGTTTCTCTAAAGATTTAACCGGAACCAAGAACCCTCTCATCATTATTGTATATAATATGCACACACATATATGATTTGGATCTGGTGAGAATATTTCTTCCAGAGAGAAATGAGAATGATACAAAACGGTGCACAATGCGGTTCACAGAGTTGCACAAGAAAGATAATGCCTTCACTTGGACTCTTTTGCTATAGTTACTCGTCCCTTATCTTCTGGTACACAATTAGGTGGCATTTACATGGGGCCCACTTTATCTAGATCTCCTGCTATTATTCCCTTGCTACATTAGTCGTCCTCCGGTTTCTATAGACTATAGACATCAACTTTCTATTTTCCCACGCTATCTTGGTCCAAAAGGTGGAATCTCCCACCCCAGGAGCCCCCACCCCGACCCGACAGGATGGTGGGGAAGTTAATCACGGTGAGTCAATCAGCAAAGCGGCGGTAGGCCTTATACACGTGCGCATCAGAGGTCCAACCTTATTTCAGATTCTGTAACCTCCACACGGTCGCTGCGGGTTTCGAACCTTGGTCATTTGGTCCAATTTTCCCACCACTCGACCAACTGAGCTACCCGTGCGGGTTGTCCCACGCTATCTTGCAACACTAACGTGTGAGTTTAATATTTCGACTCCCAATGTCATCAATATTGTTCCCAACAAGCTTCCGGTTAGATCGGTCGCATCAGCTAACGAGCACACGGAAAATAGGATTGATCTACTCCAATGAGTCATTATCTTACGGGGACGTATTAGATTGTTTCACAGCGACCGTGTATGAAAATATAAACTAACATATAAATTCTTGTGCTAATCATCACTATCACTTAACCTTTTAAGACTGAACTCCAAGTTTTAATAATCACATGAAACTACACAAAGGAAATGATAGAGTAATACTAGTATATAACTGTGCCTAGAAAAATAAATAAAATGTGACACTTAAACTAGGTTCCTAGATCGAGGTTCTTTGTATCACGATGATCCATTTTATTTAAATAAAGCAATGAGGGGAGGATAATTGGGTACCTGAATGAAAACAGTGATGAGAATGGTGGCGGAGAAAGTAGTGATGTTTGCACTTATGACTTTGATTTCTAAAGACTCAAAAATCTCACAGAGTTTAATCATAGTGTCCCTTCTTTTGGTGCACGTCAGGCTCACCGCCAATATTTTTTCCCCCATTGATGACACCCTCAGCTGCAATATTAAACAACACAAATCAATGCAAAACAACAGTGCGTCGTACGTATATCCAACCAACCAAAATAATTAAGTTGCTGTTGTTCACCCACCAACCAAAATTAATACAACCCCACCGGCTATTTTTGGTTCCACATGGAGTAGCTCTAGTACACCAGGTCGAGCGGTATAGGGAAAAATACCTCAATATTACTAAAACACATGAGTTTTCCAAGAATATGATCATATATGTTTTTAGTCTTCCGTGTGACTAAATTTAATATGACATACATGCAACCGACTGTTTTTATAAGAATAAAAACCGGTAATAAATACACCATAAATAATGTGTCATTTCCCTCATTGACAATTAAAGTAGTGCTGCAATAGTGAAGAGTAAGAGTTTGAGAAGCATGAGCCGATATTTGAGGTAGTAATAAATGTTAACAGTGAGCATAGGCAGTAATTATAGGACAGTAAACAATGGGCAATAAATTACGGAGTAACACATTGAATAAGAAATAAACACACAAAAGACAGTAAATATGTATGATGATAGTTAATGACATATGCAGTAACTTTGATTACTGCTTTCAACTATTGCCCTCTTCATTACGTCAATGAATCTCAAATTCTATATGAGTTGGAGATAGGACATTAAATCTGGTGATTTTGGGAAAATTTTCATTGGGCAGTGAAGTTTTATTGAATGATTGGGCAGTGAAATTAAAGAACATGAAAAAGAATGTCATACGAAAATTAGCTAGGACAGTAACATAAAGGGGATTAAGGAAATATATAATTTGGACATTAAAAGGTATGCAATAATTTTATTTATTGTACGTATTTGATTACAAATACAATTGAAATAAGGGAAAGTAACTATCGAAAATGAGGTTCCAAAAAAAACATAAAATAAAAATGATGAAAACCGTTATCAAATACTACTATGAGTCGGTTCAAAAAAAATACTACTATGAGTTAAATCGACATTTTAAGGAAAACTAATTAATACAGGTGTTGTGCTTATCATATCCGAGAAATCAGGGAAAAAACTGCCGTTTTTATTCACTGAGCCATTGAGGGCAATGGCGGAATAAAAACAAAGGAAAGAAATTAATAAATGACCATGCATAGCATCGATGCATCAAAATAGGAATAAAAAGGACTAGGTCATATATGGGGAAACATATGAAGTTTTAGTCTCACGGGAGATATCAATATGTATAAATATATATAAATAAATCCTCTAATATATATATATATATATATATATATATATATATACAGAGAGAGAGAGAGTTATCTTCCTGTCCGAACCGGCCGGACAGGAGGCTCCTCCGGCCACCTCGATTTGAGGTGGTTCCGGGGTTATTTTGGCTGAATTTTTGTGTGTATGTTACTCATCAAATCTAGTTCATTCATACCAAATTTGAGCAAAAAATTCAACCGAGAAGGTTGTCAAATGATTTTTACATGATAACTGGTCAATAATATACATATAAAACGCAGTTTTCATGCAAAAATCATTTGATGACATTCTCGATCGAATTTTTTTTCCCAAATTTGGTATGGATGAACTAGACTTGATGAAAAACATACACAAAACATTTCAGCCAAAAATACCCCCGGAACCACCTCAAATTGAGGTGGCCGGACAGGGCCTTCCTCTGAACTGGAGATAGGTGAATATTTGTGTGTGTGTGTGTATAGGGAACAATTCCGGTAAGAACAGACTCACATGAAAAATGAGAATGAATTTGGACTGTTAGATTGTATTATGTGGAACTGAATTGTGCATTTTGTGGAACTGAAATGTGCATTACATGACATTGAAATGTGCAGGATAAAAATTTAAACTCAAGTATGCATTACGTGAAACTGAAATGTGCGAAATAAAAGGTACAAAAATAACATTGTGCTGCACATTTCAATGTACCTTTTATTCTGCACATTTCAATTTCACCTAGTGCACACTTCAATTTCACCTAATGTACAATTCAGCTTCACATAATGTCTCTACATCGTACCATTGTGCTGCACATTTCAATGTCACTTAATGCACATTACAGTTTCATCTAATGCACACTGAATTTCACTTAAAGCAAATCTAACGGTCCAGATTCATTCTCATTTCTCTCCTAAGATCATGTTCTTATTTGAACCAAAACCTATATATATATATATATATATATATATATACATATATATATATATATATGTATATATATATACATATATATATATATATGTATATATATATACATATATATATATATATACATATATATATATATATATATATATATATATGTAGGGAGTGGTTCCGGTGAGAAATGACTCTCAGGAGAGAAATGAGAATGAATCTGGACCGTTGGATTGTATTATGTGAAATTGAATTGTGCATTTGGCAAAACTGAAATGTGCATTACGTGAAATTGAATTGTGCAGAATGAAAAATAAAACTCAAATGTGCATTACATGAAATTGAAATGTGCGTAATAAAAGGCACAAAAATGCCACTGCATCCTAATTTTTATTATGCACGTTTCAGTTTCACGTAGTGAACATTTTAGTTTTTCGTAATGCACAATTCAGTTTCACATAATACCACTATGCCTTACATTTTGTGCTGCACATTTCCATTTCACCTAATGCACATTTCAGTTTCACTTAATGCACATTCAATTTCACAGAATACAATCTAACGGTCCAGATTCATTCTCATTTCTCTCCTAAGATCATTTTCTTACTTGAACCTAATTCTATATATATATATATATATATATATATAGAGAGAGAGAGAGAGAGAGAGAGAGAAGATTAGGTGAGAAGTGCCCCTTAAAATGAAAAGTGAGAAGTAATCTCAAGCTTTGGATTGACATCTAATCTTACAACGCAGTAAACTTATAGACTGAATATAGTAACCTATAACCAATAAATCATAACTTATAAAGCTCTCCATAATAATTACGAAAATGCCACCGCGTCAAAAAAATTTCAAGGTTTCCAGACTTAATTTCTTATGGTGGCATTTTCGTAATTATTTTTCAAGGGGTCTATAAGTTATGATTTTTTTGTTAAAAGTTCCTATATTTAGTCTATAAGTTTGACTTCGCAGTTTTCAGCCTAAGAGCGCTTCTCACCTGATCCACTCCTTATATATATATATATATATATATATATATATATATATATATATATATATATATATATATATATATATATATATATATATATATATATATATATATATATATATATATATAGAATAAGGATCAAATGAGAAGACATCTTAACGTGAGAAATGAGAAGCGTCACATTTGGCTCTTTCTGATGCACTTTTGCGCTAATCTGGTGCACTTTTTGCGATCGCAGAAAAGTTACGATTAATAAAAAAAGTGATGCAAGACACGGTGGCATTTCCGTAGTTAGTGAGATCTTTTATGCTATCCCAAAAAGTGCATCATATTAGCGCAAAAGTGCATCAGAAAGAGGCAAATGTGAAGCTTCTCACTTCTCACGTTAAGATGTCTTCTTATTAGAACCCAACCCTATATATATATATATATATATATATATATATATATATATATATATATATAAGGGTGAAATATATGGAGCGGATCACATAAAAAGTGTATCTTGAACTTAAAATTGCAAGGTAATTTAAATGTTACTCCCTCCGTATTTAAATGTTCACTATAATAAGATTTGGGCACAATATTTAAGGGTGAAATAATAGAGGAATTGAATAGTGTACAAAAAGTATATTCGTTCAAAAAGAGTAGATGAGATAGTGAAAAGTTATGAAAAATAAGATAAAAACTAAAAAAGTAAGAGTAATTGAGTATTTTTAAATTAAAAAACTTACCAAAAAGGAGAAATTGTAACAAACTTTTAAAACATTCAAAAATTAAAAGTGTAACAAATTTTGAAATATGGAGAGAGCATAATTGTATTAATGTAACAATATTATATATTTGGCCAGTCATGTATTAAATTACACTTTTACGTGACAATATATGTAGAAATTGCACTTTTACGTCATTGCACTTTGTATAAAATTAAATTACACTTTAGTCACGGAGTTGTGAACTTCCATATATTTTAAAATAAAAATGCAAATAAATACGCATGGGTGTAAACTAGCAATCATCATGTGCATTTTTAATATAACAAAAGGTGCATTATTATATCATATTTTTTAAAATTCTACATTGACACTTTCTAATAAAACGAAATGCACTTTTATCATGTGCATTTAAATACATACAAAAGTGCATTATTTTTATACAATTTCTAGAATAATGCATTGACACTTGTTACAATTAAATGCACATTTCCTTGTAAAAGTATGAGAATTGTTTTATTATGATTGTGTCTTATGCTGTCACTATGAAATAAGAGAAAAATAAATATAATGAAAAGTGCATAAACCACCAGAGTTCAACAGTATTTTGATAAAAATAAAGGTCAAAAGTTCATGAAAGCAGTCGTGTTAGTGCACTCATCGGGGAAATGGTGAGCAAAAAAACTTAAAAAGACCTGAATACAACAACAACAACATCCAAGCCTTAGTCCCAAAAGATATTAGGATCAACTAACATGAATCGATACGTGATAAAAAAAAGACCTGAATGAATAGAAATATTTATATTAACATCATTTAAATCTAAATCAAATACACAAGTGTTTTTTTATTATTATGCAAAAGAGTTGATCATTTTAATATATACAAATCGATTTTTATACTTATTTCATTTTGAAGCGTGATGCACTTTTGCAATCTGGTATTACACTTTTTCAACACAATGATGCACTTTTACTTTAGCGGGTCCAATAAAAGTTGTACATATTTACCATAATTTTGTTTTAAAATTTGATATGATCCTTTCATTTCATCAATTTAAAGGCCTAGACTAGTTCTTATTTTTCACCTAGGGATCACTTTTTATTTGAACAATCCATATATATATACACACACACATACATATACTACCTCCGTTCTCCTTTAA